TCAAGTGGAACCTGTATGATCACTTCGGGGAAGGTCATAGTGAGAATATCTACTCAGGTATAGATTAGATGATGTAATGTTATATATGGCAGAGTGATGTCAAACTCAAATAGAAACTGGGGCCTTTAAACCTTAAATAAGGATCTTCATAGCAGTATAATGACTTAGAAAACCATATATTATCATATTATCATATGTATTTTTATTAATTGTGTTAAATATTTCCTGTTGCCATGCTTCTCCATGGGTCTAATGCCTCTGGTGTAGGGTTAGGAGTCACTGGGTCACAATTCTGATTCTGTTGCCCATGTGACCTTGGGTAAGTCACGTAACCTCTGAGTCACATCTGTAAGACCATATGATCTCTAAAATCCCTTCTAGCTCTAATATCCTATGCTTCCTTCTAGCCCTAAAATTCTATAAATGGAAGAGAAAGTTATTTTTTTAACCAGTCAAAAACAGCAACAACCAGTAGGACAGAACCCTTTGGAGCATCCCCAGGGCAGAGCAGTCACAAAGCCCTGATAGCCACCTTGCCTTTAAAATCAATCAATCCATAAACCCTTACCGTGGGCCAGGCACTGCACTAGCTCTGTGACACTTAATAGTCTCAGAAGAGAGACTATGCAGGGAAAAGAAACAACATAACCAGCAGAAATACCTGGGAAATGGGATAGCTCTAGATGGGGGAAGTGGATGCAGCTAGTTTTACAACTGGAAGATGAACAGAATAAATTAGACAAAATTTCCAAGTGAAGAACTCTGAAACTTATTTTTTTTTGTGGGGTAGAGAGAAATGTACATTTCTTTAATACTTTACAGTTTATAAGCAGCAAGGAATAATGAGTTTAGTGTCAGGAGACTGAGTTGATGCCCTGATTCCTCTATTTACTAGTTAGGGCAAGTCAATTCACTTTTCTAGTCATCCATTTTCCCATCTGTAAAATAGAAATAATAATCAGCTCAGCATAGCACCTAGCACACAGTAGGTGCTTGATAAATGTTTACTGGCTGACTGACTTCATGATACCTACCTACCTTGCAGAATGGCTATGAAGAAAGTACTTTATGGAAATGAGTTATTAATAACCTTGTAGGGGTAGGTGGCACAAGGATTTTTATTCTCATTTTATAGATGAGGAAACCGAGGTTTCAGAAACAAAACAAAACAAAACTGGTCCAGTATCACACAACTAGTAAGAGGTGGAGCTTTGACTTGAGACTTGAAATTGGGAATTGTGATACTGAATTATTAGTGCCTGCATACCTTACTCCCTGTGTATTTACTTTTCTGTGAACAGATGGCAATCCATGTAGTAGAATGCAAACTCCACGAGGGCAGGGGCTGTCTGACTTTTGTACTTGTATTCTCAAGGCTTAGCAGAGAACTTGGTATACGGCAGAAATTTACTAAATGCTTGTTGACTGAAGTACAAAGCTCTTTCCACTTTATCACACAGCCAGACATGGGGAAAGAGGTTGTTTTAATGCCTTTGGGACACATTAAGGCATTTCCATTTCCTCCCCATAATAACTTGAGCATGTACCACATGTTTCTTCCCATGCTAGGTCTATGGGGATTGTGATAGGTTTGCTGTCCGTGAAAGCTGTTGAAAAGGTGGGTGAGTAACAAAGAGAAGGGGAGCTGGTACCCCTTCTTGGGGTCTGCCTGCTTAAAATGAAAGCCTGAGAAGTTGAAGGCCTTGAGCTCACTCCTACCCCCAACTCTGGCCTAAGTCAGTGAGACCACCTTTCTGTGGTCCTTTTTCAGCTTGGACATTCCACATTCTAGAATCTAAGGCTTTACTGACATTCTATGTTCTGAAGGCTGTTCCTGCTCTGACAGTCTTGGTGTGGGAGAGAGAGAAGGGGAAAGGAGAGGGGAGGTAAAGACAGGGAGGGGAAGAAAGGGAAACAGAATAGAAGGGAGGTGAGAGGAGAAGATTAGGTTGTTACACTTGTGGGGCAGAGTTCAGAATCTTATTTCATCTAGAATTCTTAGAAATGCAAAGCCACTCTTCTACGAAAGAGCTTTCTTTCTCAGCCTCAGTTCTCAATAACAACAGGGTAGAGGAGAGGGAGGGAAGAAGAGACAATGTGTACACATACAGAGTGTCCCAAAAGTCTTAGTGCAGTTTTCAGCTATTCATGCTTGAGGCTGAGTTAAAAACTGCATTAAAACCTTTGGGACATCATGGATAAGTGTATCAAAAATAAAAGGCCATTACATTGGGGAAGGCCAGCTAGTGTATAGTATAGTAGTACATAGAGTTCCTGGGCATTCTTCATGAGTTCAAATCTGGCTTGACACAACAGCTATGTGACCCTAGGCAAGTCACTTAACCCTGCCTGCCTCAGTTTCCATATCTGTAAAATGAGCTGGAGGAGGAAATGACAAACTACTGTGGTATCTCTCCAAGAAAACGCTAAATGGGGTCAGACAAGACTGAGTAACACTTTGGGGAGAAAGGTGTGTATATCTGAGGGGGGCGATCAGGAAAGGCCTCAGGTGGGAAATGGTGTTTGACTTGAATTTAGGAGGAAATTAATAACTTTGAGACTAGTATGTCAGCAGGGAAGGGGAGCAGTGAAGCAGTTCCAAGTACGGGCTCAGCCTATGCAAAGGCAGGTAGACGGAGATAGACCATAAAGTCTAGGAAGTGGAGTAATGTGTAATTAGCCTGATAAGGCAGCCAGCAGTTTAGTACTTTAAATGTAAAACACAGGGGTAGGTATTTGATCCTGGAGGCAGTACCAGATGAAGCAAAGGGGGCCACAGCTAAAGAGCAAAAAGAGTTCAGCGAAATTATTGGTTACAGGTCGGAATGACCTCCCTTTTCCCCCACCCCCACTCCCAGCACCCTGTATCAGGAGCTGCAGCACTGGGCGCTCCCACCCCACAAAGGCACTTTTGGGGCTGAACGGACTGGAGCGCAAATAGGGTTCAGGACCTCTGACGGCATGGAAAGAACAAAATGAGGCAGAGTGGTGGAAATGTATTAAAAAAGATGAGTACAACTGAGCAAACCCAGAAAGCCTGTACCGCATGCCCAGCAGCACAGGCTGCACAGCCCCGGCGCACGCGCCGCTTCCGAGTCGCCCCAACTCCAGCCTCAACTTCAACCCGAAGACCTAGCTAGCCCAGCACATGCGCAGCTTCAACTAGGCGGAAGGAGGACGGTGAGGAAAGAAGTCGAGGGGGCGGGGCTTAGAATGCGTACGTATATTAACATAGTTTTCCCTCCCACCCTCCGGCGTGGAGGCGTGTTAGGAGAGGGGGTGGAGAGATGGAAGTGGAAAGCGTTCTGGAGCCTGCGCGCGCCTCGAACTGGCGGGAAGGTGCCTGTAAAGCGTCCCTTGTGCATAAGAGGGAGGCTGAGGGGAGTGTTTGGAACGTTCCACGCTCCAGTTCTTGTGGGGGGGGTTCTGCTCTTCTGTCAGCGGCTCCATTCGTCTCCTCCTTAGTCCTGTTGACACATACTGCTGCCCGCACCCCCCGCCGTTTGTTCAAGGCTGGCAGTTCTAAGGGCGCCTGTCACGGAAGCCGCGCCTCTCAGAGGCGCGAGGAGGCTCAGCGAGGCCTTCGCTACGGAGGGGGGGGGCCAGGCCAGCCTGGCGGCACCGCCTCCCCTTGGCGGCCCGGCGGGGCGGAGCGGCGTCGGGAAGAGGAGGAGCGTCGGCGCCGGCTCGGGCAGTGGGTTGGCCCGCCCGGACACGGGCCCCGAGGAGGGCCGAGGCCACCCCTTTCGCTTAGAGCCCCAGCCGAGGCCGCCACCCTCCCGGAGGCCCCGCCCTAGGCCCGGCCCCGTGGGACCTGCCCCCCACCTCTGACCCGAGGGGCTCTTAGCTGTCCAGTCCTCCTCTGGAGGAGATCGGACCTGCCATCTCGCTCTGAGCCCAAGGGACCATAGCTGCCCCCTCCGCTGACCCTCTGGCCTTCGTCTCCTGTGCCTAGGGTGGGGGACCAACCTTACCCCTTCTCCTACTCACCTCTAACTTGACGACCAGTCCTGCCCCTTCTGAGGGGACCAAGTCTTCTGTCTTCCCCTCACCTAAGGGGACCAGACCTGTCTCTTCCTCCCTTGATCTAGAAAGACCAAACCTGCCCCTCTTAAGAGCTGTGAACACTGGGGAGCAGACCTGCCTCTTCTCCCTGACCGGAGGGTACTAAATTCTCCTCTTCTGACCTAAGAGAACTAGACCATTCCTTTCTCCTCCTCTGTTCTGAAGGCACTAGACGTGCTCCCTCTTTTCTTCCTTTGACCCGAGAGTATTAGACTTTCCGCTTTCATTCTCTAATCTGAAAGGAGAGATTACAAAGTATCCTAAAGAGTTCACAGGCTCAAAGACTTAGCGCTAGAAGGACCTCAGAGGTTATAACCCTCATTTTGCAGACAAGAAATGCCCAGAGAGGTAAGTCATTAAAAATCACATAGGAAGAAACAGAATTTGAATTCAGGTCCACTTGACCCCAAATCTAGTGTTCTTCTGATAGCACTAGATCTTCTCTCTTAACCCCTCCTCGGATTCTAGGGACTAGAAATTCCTCTCTTTTCCCGACCTAAGAGGATCAGACCTACGCCTCCTCCGGCCTGAGAGGACTAACCCTTTCCTGTTCTTTCCCGGAAGAAGGGGGGAAGCTGCAGATTTTCCCCTCTCCCACCTTCCCCAGAGCCCTCCTCCCCTCTGTCCTGCCCGAAGCCTCCCCTTCTCTAAGTCCACTCGCATCCCCAGTAATAGACACTCCCTCGGGCAGGGTCTGAGCCCCTGCCTTCCTCCCTACTCCTGGGGTCTTCCTCCCCCCAACCTCCGCGCAATTCCCGCCTCACAGATCCCTGGGCCCTCTTTCCTCTCCTGGGGTTCCTCCTTCCCCAGCTACTGGGGAGAGCCAGCCCCCCGCCCCTCCCAGTTGCTCGCAGAGTCCAGCCCCAGCCCCCCGCCCTGCGCAGGGTCCCCGCCTCCTCCGGAGCTCGCTCTCTGGCACACACACACACGCGCGCACACACGCACAGCCCGGGGTCCAGCCCAGCCCTCCCCCAGGTCTCCTCCTGCAGCCGCCAGGGAAACCTTGCACACAGAGACAGACACACTGGGAGACTCGCACGCACTGGGCCCAGTCAGCCCTCCCGTGGGTCTCCTCCTCTTGGGGCTGCCCGGGAAAGCTGCATACCCGCACACCCCGAGGCAGGGTCCAGCCCGACCCCCTCCCCGCTTCCTCTCCCCTTTCCTGGTCTCCTGCTGCTGCTACTGCCGTCGCCGCCGCCGCTGGGGGAGGATTCATGTCCCTCCAGCATCATGCAGCCGCCGCCGAGGAAGGTGAGCGAGCCGGCGGGGCTGCGGCTGGGGCCGGGAGGGGGCGGGAGCACGCGGGGGGCTGTGGAGGTGGGGGCGGCGGGCTCTGCAGCTGCTTCGAGCTGCGAAGGAGAAAGGCTTCTAGTCCTGCTGTCGGCTTGTCCCCGCCCCGGGCTGGATCTGCTCTTCCCGCAGCAGCCCAGGGACGCGCGGCTTTTCTCGCCGCCGCAGCCCGTGATGCGGGGCCGGGATGCTGGAGGGTGAGGGGAGAGCTTTTGGGTCTCCTCGCCCAGCTGTAACCCCGAGCCCCCCCGAGGCCCACCTCTCCTGCGCACCCGCTCAGTCTCTTTGGGAATGGGGTGGAAGCCTGCGCTGTCTGCAGGAGTTGTATTGATGTGTGTGATATGAGAGAGAGAGAGTGTGTGAGTGTATGTGTGTGTGTGTGTGTGTGTGTGTGTTTGTATGTGTTGTGCGCGCCCCGGGAGAGTGCATTCTTGTTGCAAAGTGCATTCTCGGGGTTGCACGGAGGCAGAGCGAGCTTGGGAGCCGAGCAATCCCCTGCAGTTCTGCAGAGCCCATGCGAGTGTGTGTATTATTGTTTAGTCTGCACAGAGGCTTCGCCCTCCGCTCCCGCCGCCCCCCATTTTGCAGGATTTGGTTGTGTTCTTCACTCCTCAGTTGGGCCTGGTTTTCCTCCGGGAGCCAGAGGGGAGAAGTTGAAATGGTCACACCCCTTCATCTCCTCACCTTCTACCCCCTCCCCCCTCCCCTCCCGAAATGAAGGTTTACCGGGCATTCCCAAGTGAGCAAGCGTGATAAAGTGAAAAGACCTGGGTCTGAATCTCGCCCTTGACACTTCCTCATTAGTAGCGTTATTTTGGAAAAGTCCCTTCCCCTTTCTGGCCTTCAGTTTCCTCATCTGTAAAATGAGGGAGTTGTACTAGGTGACCTTTAAGATCCTTTCCTACTAGTAAAATGAAGTGCTGGGATCCTATTCCAAAAGGTACCCCTACCTGGCTATTTGGGCAAGGTGCTTCAGCCTGAGTTCCCTACTACCGCTAAGATGGGGGGTGGGGTGGGGAAGTTGTGTATTCATCTGAGGTTATGTTTCACATGAAGCAATAGGAACGAGCGCCCAGTACAGGAAGAGGGAAGGGTTTGTGTCAGGTTTGTGTCCACCACCTTTTTTCCCATCACAAACTGCTGTCCTTTCACCCTAATCCCAGCCCCCTTTAGCCTTTTAGAGTGGGGCTGTTTGTTTTCTGAAGCTAAATGTTTTCTTAATATCAAATTCACTAGTGTGTGCTTTTTTAATTTCATTTTTATTTAAAGCCGGGTTTCTTTAGTAAATTCGGCCCTTGTCTATTGGGAATGTCTGTCACACACACACAACTCCCCACCCCCCCCAGGGGAGCTGGGTAATAGCTCTCAGAGTCCTAGACAGATTTTCTCATCCCAATGGCATAGGCTCCAAGACAGAGCAAGGAGATATTCTGACACCTTCCCCCCACCAAAAACAAACAAACAAACCCTAGCCCACCAAAAAACCAAATTTGAAGTAAACAGCTAAAGTTACCAGGATACTAGTTAACTGTCCTGGTTAAATGGTTAGCTTTCCTTCTCTGAGTTAGAAGTGTGTATTCTCTTTCGTGAGAGAGTGAATCTGATTGTATGGGCTGTCAATGAGATGAGTGTGTCATCCTCAGGCATTTTGTTCCATGGAGCCATTATGGAATAATTTATTTAATCGATGCCCATTTCATGATTGTGTAACTAGTATTTATTAGATGTTATGTATATGAGGGAGGACGGCTTCCCTTTATTTCCCCTCCTCGATTTTTGTGGATGGACATATTCGATTTGTTTGGAGAAAACAAATTCTTTTAGATGGGTGCCTGGTTGTTCAAATGATGATCCAACTTGCCCAGTTTGACATCTTTTAAATGAAATTGGTCATCTACTCTTTAGTTAAACCAGTGTTTTGGCCTCTTTGGCTAGTTTGTTCATAAAACATTTTATTTTCTGGAGATGCTGAAATAGGCAATTTAGCGAACTGGAAGATGGGCATGTGATATTATAATTTAGTATTTTTTGTTTTGTTCATATTACATTTTGCCTTATCTGCATCAATTTCTGGTGTATTTTAGGTGAAAGTTACACAGGAACTGAAAAATATTCAGGTTGAACAGATGACAAAACTTCAGGCCAAACATCAGGCAGAATGTGATTTACTTGAAGATATGAGGTAAGGTCACAGCAAACACCTTTAAAAATCCTATAATATCTCCCTTTTGGAAGAACATTTGCGTTACAAAACCCCAGGAACTGATGATGGAATTTCCTCTTGGATTTCCTGCTTTTCGGCTGCTGGAGCTTTGACACAGCTGGAAATTATAACTGAAGCAAGCACAATGCAACCCTTTTCTTCTCTTCAGTGGGGGAAGGCTACAGTGTATAAATGCAGTTGTGAAGAAATCAAACGAATGTCAAGCATCATAACAGTAATTCTCATTTTAAATGGTCTCTCAGCTGAATGCTAGAGATACATGTTTAAAGACAGCTACTTGTTGTCTTTAATTCTGTTAAACTGTTGAATTCTCAAAATCATTGTCCACCGAAGTGGGCACTTCCAGGGATTGCTGATAAATGTCTTTGGAATCAACAGAAAGTAAATGTTGTTAAAAATTATTTACTGGAACTTGACCAAAAAAAATCTGACTTCATTTCCTGGAATGCTTAATTCAGGAGGGAAATTGAAAGTGTGAGATGTGTTTTTTTTTTTTGTTGAAGATTCGCTGTGTTCTTGGTCAAGGTTACATTGCAGTTAATGGGATGGATACCTTGCAACGGTTGTAGAATTAGATAACTTCAGTTATAGAGGGAGTGGTGACAGTACCAAAACAGAGAGTCTTCTGAGTTCAAATCCCAGCCTTAGACACGTGTCACTTCCTAGCTATGAGACCCTGGGCAAGTCATTTAACCCTGATTGCCTCACCAAAAAGCAAAAAAAAAAATAGTATTTATTGTTTGTATAATATTCTAGAAACTTTATTAGAAGTTTCAACTGACAGTAGAGTAGACAAAGGTAATTGTGTATTAGTATAGAAAATGAAAAATAATTTCATATTAAGGGGTTGAATGAAAATTGCTGACACTTATGTAGCACCTTAAAATTTACAAAGTACATTATTTTATTTGGTCCTTATAGCTAGATTCTCTAAGTAGTATTATCCCCATTTTACAGATGATGAGATAGAGCCTTGGTGGCAGTGTTAAGGCTATATAAATAGAGGTAACTAGGTGATACAGTGGAATTGAAGTCAGGAAGACTTGAGTTCAATTTTGTCTCATATACTTATTGTGCAGGTAGTTGTTGGCTGGATGACCCTGGGCCAAAAAGATTTAATCTCTCTCAGCTTCAGTTTCCTGTAAGCAGCTGAGTTAAAATCTGATATAAGACACTTAGTAGCCATGTGACCTTGGGCAAGTTAACTTAACCTATTTGCCTCAGTTTCCTCATCTATAAAATGGGGATAATAATAGCAGCTAACTTTCAGAGTTGTGAGCATGAAATGAGGTAGTGCTTAGCACAGTGCTTGGCACATAGTAAGCACTATATAAATGTTTACTATTATTATTGTGAATCTCAAAAGAGATAATATTTGTAAACCATTTTGGAAACTTTAAAGCTATATAAATTCTAGCTATTATTATTATTACTATCATCATTATGATCTTCCTCCTCTTTGTACTCCTAGGGGATTAGACTCAGTGGTTTGTAAGTTCACTTTTAGCTCTAATTCTTTCCTCCTACGATCCAACGGCTTGCTTGTTAACAAGTAGTAAGTATTGGAGGTAGCATCTTTCCTGACTCCAAATCCATTATTTTCTCCCCTACTGATCTTTCTAGTATAACATACTGTTTGTTTCTGTTAATAATTGCTTAAACCATAATTAAGAATATGCTTAAATCTTATCAGAATAATTTTTCTCTTAAGGAAAAAATTTCTCTTGTATTTAACGTAAACTAGTGTCTGTACTCATAAAATGATTAACGAGTGACTGTTGAATAATTTTGACTAGTTAACTGATTTTGTAGCCTGTAGATATTTTCTTTAAAAAGATTGCATTTTTTTCTATGTAGCCTAGGTAAGACTATTCGAGATTTTTTGAGATTTCTGATATTTGTCTTTATTGTCAGAAATTAAAACTGAAGCATTTAAATATCTTCTCTAAAACTTAGCATAACAAAATTGCTAGCTTCACCCTATAAAGTATTTTTAATTTATACTGTTTTCTCTCCATTCTCATAGGGCAGCTTAATATGCTTTCATATTGCAATCCTTGTTCATTATTTTGAATTGACTTTCATGGTTTTGAATTTGTGCGGTCAGAGATTTAGCAAAATAGGTAGAGAAAGTAAATTCAAGTGTCTAGAAGGAGTACAAGAATACATAATTAAATCTGAATGTGAAGGTCTCTGGGATAAACTGTTTCTCTTTGATGAAGTAATGTAAGTGAAAGCACTGTATAAGTGTGAGATCCAATGTTATGTTGCACCCTATTTGTTTTCCTGCCTCTTGTTTCTTCTTTTGCTGTTTTTTGTCAACGAAGTGCTGTCTCTGATTGCCTCATTCCTTTCCTCAAAGACCTTCAATGACTCCCTATTGCCTGTGGGATAAAATACAGATACCTTAACCTGGCATTCAAGGACATTCCCTTTTTAGCTACCTTTCTAGCCTTATTTTACACTATTCTTTTTGATGTACTCCACTCCATGGATGAACAAGTCCTCATTCTACTGTCTCCTGCTTCTATGCATTTGGAGATACCATCCCTCTTACCTTGAATGAACTTTTCTCATATCTTAGTGAAATAAATCCTTGTATTTTTTCAAGACTTAGCATGGTACTATCCTCTCCATACAATGCCCTCTGACCTTCCAGTGAGAATTTAGATGTCTTTTCTTGAGTCTTTCATGCTCCTCACTTAACTCATTTAATCTTATTCTACCTTGTGATTGTTTTCTGTGTATGCCTTTCAATTCTCCCTCTATAATGCAAGCTTCTTGAAGGCAGAAGTTATCATTTTTCATCTTTTCTTTCCCAGCTCCTCAACACAGTGTTTCATGCTTTTATTTGCTCTATATCTGTAATTTCAGGGGGGTAGAAAACCTGCTATAAGACTCTACTCTCCCTAATATAGTTCATCAATTTGTAATTTAGAATCTTAGTGAGTGGCCTCGGACAGGACTTTCCCAGGGTCACACAGTTAGGTTGTGTCAGGCAGAACTTGAACCTAGGTCTTGCTGACTCCAAGTCTATTCGTTTTACCACCCTGCTGCCTTATATCCCATTACATTGCTCTATTATTAACCTTTGGTGGCCTCTTCCCATCCAAGATATGTTTCATCTGGAGTTGTTATTTCACAAATGTTATTGAACTGAATTGAAATATTCCTGGTATAATGTATGTGGGCACATTTAGAAATGAGATATTTTAGAAGTTCAGCTTCGTAGGGTGTGGATGGCAACTGTTCAGTCTCGTTGTACTTTGTCATAGTCCAGTGTACAGTGGGATACTTAAAAGTACTTGGATATTAGATAATGCGTGACAGACATTTTCATCACAGATACATAATACATTTAGACTGTATTGGTGCTTTAAGGGACTCATTTGGACTTCAGATGGGTTGACGTGTTCTTTTTAATTAAGTTGATTAAAATAATCTCCCTGCCCCTTATGTTGTTGTGAACCCAGTAACTATTTCTTGCTTGCTGAGATCTGAGTTAAGACTGCTGATTCTATCACTGCTGCTGTAGAACAGCAAGCTTAATGTGTGTTTTGGAGAGGCAGTGGTGGAGAGGGAAAGGTCTGACCTGGGTTTGACAACCAGGAGAAAGATATTTCCCCTTTTTGAGCCTTTGTTTTCTAATCTGTGAAAGGGGTATACTGATACTTGCATTGCCTACCTCATAGCATTTTTAGGAGGAAAGCACTATATAAACCAGAAAGTACAACAAAAATGTGAATACCTGTTTTAGTCACAGACACTTTTGTGACTCAAGTTGACAAGAGGAAGGTAGAAATTACCAAAGGAGGAAACCTGGAACCTCTGGTCTTAGTTGGCAAGTTCAATAGTAATAACAGCTCCTACTTATATAGCATCATCATAAAGTTTGTAGCATGTTTTTTTTGTAAGAGGGATGGTATTATGTGATAACTATAAACTGTGATAACAGTTTATAGTTTGTAAAGCATTTTAAGTATACTGTCTTATTTGATTCTCAAATGTCCAGTAATAATAGCAGACATTTATTTAGGCAGTGAGATATTATTTTCATCTTAAAGATGATGAGACTGAGGCACAGAGACTTTTTCAGGGTCAGAGAGTTTAATAGTAGTAGAGCTAAGGATTTGAACACAAGCCTCTAGACTCTAAATCTATTAGTCTTCCTGCCATAGCCATAACTGAAATATTAGTGTCCTGGTTTTATAGCCGAGGGAACTGAGGCCCAAAGATGTTAGTGTCATGCTGATCATGGTCCCATGGCTAGTGAGTATTAGATCATCACCCAACTCCAAGTCCAATGTTGTATGTACTATGCTAACTTTCCTTTGAAAAAAATAATTGAAATGGATACTAAAATTATTTTCACATAGGTCATTTGCTTTTCTATAAAATGGGCTTCCCACTTGCCCCACAGTTTTCAGTTACAGTTGAAGATTTGCTTAAAGTCACATAAGGAAAAGACAACCAAGCTCATTAATAAAGAAACTTCTTAATCAGTAAAGATCTCATCATTTTGAAATGTGAGATAAACCTGGTGATCATATATCTAAAAACTTTCTGGACTTGAAATAGGAAAATTCTTCATTGAATCAGCGCATTTTTGACCTCCCTCCCTTCCCCCCCCCATCTTCTTGTCCCCTCTGGAGTTCTGAGCAAGGAGACTGACTGCCATTCACTTTTCCCCCTCTAACACAGTAATTTGGAGGCGAAGTTGAGGACAAGTATTTGGGAGTGGAACAGGTGGGAGAAAAGAAGAGGTATCATTTTGCGGAGAAGAAACTTTTTAAAAATTAATTTATTTTTAATTTTCAACATTCACTTCCATAAGCTTTTGAGTTTTAAATTTTCTCCTGCTCCTTTCCCTCCCTCCTCCCCAATATGGCATACAATCTGATATAGGTTGTACATATGCATTCACATTAAACACATTTTCACATTTGACGTGTTGTAAA